TAACAAAGTTTAATGACAGGTTATTATCAACAACAGAAATATACAGAGAAAATCAACAACGAAGGCAACCGGGGAGGACTAGTATAAAATACACAAAAGGCACTAGAATCCCGGTTCTCACGAACCGTTCCTGTTGCCTTATTTCACCCGTTTCATTGTCAGCCTCTCCTCGTCGTTTCCGATATCCAGACCCGTTGGAGGCCTGGGTACATATTTTGATAATCTCTATGCCAAACACGGAGGAGAGGGGAGAAGGGGGAGGACACAGCAATATGCCTGGAAGACGTGGCCACCACTGGTAGTTTCGGTAGCTAAGTTTCGTGCTATTGCAGGCCCTAGACTGCCAAGAAAAAAAGAAGGAAACAGAAGTGCTACTGCAGAGTAGCATAAATATGTTCGTTTTCACGGAAAGGGACATTAAGAATTTCGCTAAGTCGTTGTCCTAAGTGATAGTCACATGCCGACGAATCATCATACAGCCCATCCACTAATTTAAGACCCGCATTCCTGATCCACGATAACAATTCCGTGTTTATCGCTATACAGTTTATGCCATCAGCCAACCCCTGAAATCCGTATCGAGAAAAACACTAAGGAAACACATTAACAGAAAATGAGACAAAAACCTACCTTTGAAACCTGCGCAACTTTTGCAGACAGCTGCTCACCAGTAACAGTTTTCGCTGATTTAACTCTACGGAAAAAACCTTTCACATTAGAACGTTGACGCTCAACATCTTTGGCAAACATTATTTCCAAGTAAGAACAGTCCTAAAGAGAGCGACATCATGTGATTAAAATTCATCATTGTAAAACCTTTGAAAGAAGTACTGGCTAAGTAAGGGAAACACTAGACTTCCCAAGAGCAACAAATTGAGTAAATGATGTAGGGCAAAGCGTTCAGTGAAGTAGAGACTTACTTTCGTCATCTTTTTTTGAGCCGAACTCAACAAGTCAGTGAGTGACGTAGCAATTGTTACTAGTGAATAGTTAGCTGCAATACTTCTTTCACAATCGAACAAACAAGCTGGGTGCGAAACCTGCATAAGCCAAAATCGCAATGTCCATGCATTTGCTTTCCAACTTCGAACTAGTTTTAAATCTGTGACCTGAAAAAGCCGAACTCAGATTTACAGAAAAAAAAGTTTGAAGTCAAACATTACTGTAAATCTAAAGTAATGAAATTTCAACAGCTCGTAGAACATATTGCCCGATTAGTTGTCAAAATATTTCCGGTTTAACCTCCCTTCAAAAAAAACCAAAATGAAACAACCGTTCCCGGTCAGCCAATTTGTAAGTTAAAAACATTTTACTAGCAAAATACTGACATTGTTTTGTCGTGCAATATCATCGAACAAATCGAAGACATATTTTACAACCACCGGGATTTCGTCGCTTTGCAGTAACAAAACTGACTTATACAGGTCGTTTATGTACTTCTGAATCATCCCTTTACTGAAATTAATTGTTAGCATCAGTGTAAGTTAAATTTTCTGGACCCGCTATAGAAGAATTTACAGAGTTCCAAACGGAATAAGCGCCAACATTTAGCAACTCTAACTTCACTAAAAGTTGGGCTAATGACTTCTCAGCAATTAAATTCGAAGTTGAATCCTGCAATTTATTCGTCGACATTGTACTGAAAGACGGTAGTTCCAAATGGTAACTATACGATTTAAAACTTTGTGGTGAGGCACTTGTACTGCTCTTCTCGCTGCTACTCCCTTAAAAAAGTGTGGAGAAATACTGAGAAAGTTGAGAACGTCGAGAAAACAGATCCACTAGATAAATGACGACACTTACGGCTTAAAGAACACGAACTTCGCAACTGAGCTGTTAAAAGAGCATTATTTGGTAAACCATATTCGCCAAGAAACTTCAGCCTTTTAAAACCTTTAGCATCCGCCTGGTCGTCATCTCGCAAGATAACTACTCCTCTGTCAGGACTTCTCCATACTGAAGAAGATAAAGATAAAAAAAAAAAAAGAAAACAAAAAACCAGTGTTAGTTATAACTCAAGTTCAAATACCAAGATCGAAATGTTCTACAGGCAGCCTCGCAGAATACGGTTGAGCTTTTTGAACCACATCAAGAAACTTGGACTTCAACTGTGTAACTGTGTCACAAGATAAAGCCCGAACCACCACAGAACACTGATCAGACTGGTTCAACGGTATCACAAGAAATTGCTAAAAGGAAGAACAATCTATTTTCCTATAATAATAATAAAAAACCAAACTTCAAAAATTCAATAAGAAAAACTATCCCGTCCTGTCAACAAAACATCACTCTCCAACACAATTTGAGTAAAAGCAACGAAGTGAAAAAGATGAACCGTACCAAAAACACAGCATTGACTGGTTCTCGCAATAAATTATGATCATTTAAAGTATAACGAGCGCTTCCTGTCATTTCATCAACAGGACCTTTCGTTACTTGTTTCCTAATAACTTCCTGCAGGAAATACAACGGAGCACCCAAAGATGACCGCAAGTCATCGTAAAGACAAAATGATAACCAAAACGAAAATATTTTTTCTATTATCGAGCTATTTTGCCGGAACAATAGATGCGCATTCCGATTCTAAAAATCAACTGTTCATCGAATGGAAAACCTGAAGGCTCTACAGCTTAGTGACAGGAGACTCCTTATCACTTCACTAACAAGCATTTTTTACTGATAAAGAAGAAATTTCGACTTGGATTTAAAAAAAAAGGTAAAGGTTTAACCTTAATGCATTTCTCAGTATGATAGGTTAATAGTGTAATGACGATATCTGTAAAGTAATTCATATTACGGAGAAGTGAAGCAGTTAAAAGTGAAGCAAACAGAGCTCGATCATTTGTAGAGAGCGAATAATCAGATTCAGTAATTTCGACTAATGTTATAACAAACTGTTTGTTCCACAGTAGACTATCTAATTGAGCAGTAGCAGCAAGAGATTCGCTGAAAACAGACAACGCTTCATTAAATCATAAGCCTTCCATTAAACAAAACACATTTCTATGAATAGTAGGAAAAACACAACGACGGAAGTGCCATTTACCAAGAATAAATATCCTGATTTTTCAACATATTACTCATAGAGACATCCTGAAAAAGCACTTTTGAAGCAAATTGTGTCTTCTCAAAAAACGGAATACCATTTGTCTCAACAAACAATGTTAATTCTGCCATTTCTGACTGTAAATCGGCCAAAATCTGAAATTATGGTAAACAAATAAAGGTAGCACTGAAAAGTTATGACAACATACAACAACTGAAAACTGAGTTTTTTTCATTTATCGCTGAAAGTTTCTAACATTTCTTACCTGTTTACACTCATAGTGGAAATCGCCCTGCAAGTCATCAATTTTAACATGAATTCTTCTGTAGTCCCCATCGTATTGGGCCTTCCTTTTCTTGTGGATAATATACAATAACAAACTGACTACCACTGAGAACAAAGACAGCGCACATATAAGAAGTAAAAGCGGCTTTGCAAATTCCCTTAACAAAGCTTTCTTTAACAAGAACTGATCCGTCTATAGTTTCAAAAAAAAAAGTATCTGAACGAATTTGTATAGATGTAAAGTGTATAATAACTTGCTGTGAGTACTTTAAATAACGTCGTTACTTGTCGGTGAGTACAGAGATTTAAATATCAGTGATGAAAACACCAACAACACATACTCTGAGCGCTGCAGACTCTTCCAGTAACTACAGACATAGGTCAACTCAATTTTTCCGAAACAATAAGGTTGAAGCGTAGACTGACCGCTTCAATTCAAACAAAGAATTGACTTGGATAACATCAGTCAAATTTATTTCAAGGAGACAAGAGGAACTGCGAATCCATCTGTCATGCAGAACAACCTATTTTCTAAGGCATGTTTCTGTGATAAAATCGCAAATAACACAGTGCTAGTAAATTGATTTAGTAAATAGAAAGTTGAGTACTTCAGAGCGAATGTTTCATACTCCACTAATCCCAACTCGTATCTCAATGAACCAACGATGACAACGAATAGTGGCCGTCCACCTTCCACCGTATTCCCTTTTTCGTCTGTTGCTCGTGGCTGTACTTCAGGACCTTTACACAGCAATCGCTCCTTTTCCAGTTCAGTTACGATACAATGCTCAGAACCGATAAAAACCTGAACGAACCAGGAATCATTTATAGACACTGATATATTACTGCAGAACAGAAAGATGTCGCGAGAGAGCAGTAAACAATTTTTTGTAATTTTACCTGATATTCACTGGGGAATGCGGCATGTGACAGGTGATTCCCCTCAATCACAAACAAATCGCCTGGTTTATGCATTCGAATGCCACTGAACGGTGCAAATATTGGGTCAGGCACTACTGTCAGCTGTAGATAGTTGTAACCGAGATTTTGAACAGACTCAACGTTGTCCATTACGAAACCGACTGGCCAACGGCTGTACGTAGCAGACGGGAAATCCGAAGGTATGTCGACTTTTGGAGTCCGGCAGAACATTGATGTGGAGTTCTGAATAATGCAGTCGGCTAGTTCTGAAATTGACCCATCCCGCGAATCGTTTGTGGCTGAGATGAATATACGAGGATGAAGGACAGAGTCGAGATGTTCGCCCTGAAGACGTTATAATTTAAATTCTTTGCAGAATCAACTGCGCATCACAGTTGATACGATCAACTCTAAAGTGCTAACTGTTTCAATAGTCATTGCTATAAATTTCTAAAGTTTCAAAGTTTTTTATTCGAAAGATCGTGTTAGCCTGGTTTTTATTTATTTTAATTACAGTTTGGTTAAATTTTGAAATTAGTGGAATAAGATCAGTTGGCCTCGCAGCTGAACATCAACAATGTTAGAAAAAAAACGTTTGAGGTCATACCTTAACAAAAATTAGTCGTCCACCACTCTTGAAAGTTGCTGTTGGGTAGATAGATGTGATCTCCGGGTCTGAGCGATACTCGAAAGATGTTTGAAGCACCTCTGTATGTTTGTCAATGGTTATCCTGATTGGACCAACAGAAGAAACATCACTCGATGGACCAGTTATGCATAAAATTCCTGACTCCCAAATCTCCTAAACAGAAAACTAACAAATCGAACAGAATTGAATGACTTGAAAGAATAGAGTATCGACTATTTAGTACTAACCTCCTTAATTACTTGGCACGGGATTTTCCCAAACATGACAGTTACGCTACTGCCAATAGTAAGGTTGCTGCCATAGATAGTGACACGTGTACCGCCAGATTTTGGGCCAAAATTTGGGAACACACGTGTTGCAAATGGTCGTACAAAGCTATACAGTGTTTTTGATTTGGCATGACGACGTCCAGTCTTGCCGATCAAAATTTCGACTGGAAATGATCCTTCTACACCAGGTTCCACAATACATGCAAACCTAGAAACGGTGACAAACAGTCTTTAGAAACAAAATATTCAAGTGATACTGTACCTATCCAGTAAAAACGACTGTAGAAACGATTCTGATAAAAGAAAATAAATTTTGTGAGAAAAAACATACTTAGATGACATCTCGTAGGCGACAACGTTACATTTCGATTTGCCAATAAGAACTGCATCATCTACACTTTTAGAAGAAAATCCAAGATCTCTTCCAGTTACTTCTACTAATGTGCCTCCCTCCAAAGGTCCCGACTCTGGTTTTACCTACAAAAATATACATTTATTTATATGTTCTACCACTCATCGGTTATCATATTTCGTTCGTTAATTTCAGTTATTGTAAGTCATTTCCCTGAACATATTAGAGAATGAAATAACCATTATTGCTCAATTATGGAATAGTTACCGTATAAATGACTGGATTACCACAAATGGTATCCGGAGAATGATCGAAAGATGTTGAATTACAGTTAGTACGATGAGTGCATTTACCATCACACCAACTACAGTTCCATTTGGAAGCCAAATAAAAACAGCTCGAGCAATCTACTGCCATCGCTGTACAGCTGTAGACGGTTACTGTAATGGTGCTATTATCCTGCTGACAATTTAGCAGTTACTATGACTGATACCAAAATTTATGGCTAATAAAATTTATGTTTCGCTTACAATAAAATAGATTTTGCTGCTTTGAGACTAAATTATTGCAATCAAAATAACGAATATTACATCAGTTCCCATTAGTGTAAGAAAGTAAACATTTATTAAAACAAACAGAGGAACGAACCATTTGTAGTATCCACAAGGTTATTCTCTTGCAACACCGACAGGTAACCGTCTTCAGAGGCATTTTTTAGGTTGAAATTAAATGGTTTTGCATTACACTTCACAAGTTTTCCCTCAACAACTGCCGGTAACCTTACTTCTTCGTTCCCCAAACTGACCATGCATGACAGTTCCGTGCCTGATGTAGCCAACTGATCCAAATGATTGATGGTAACCGATACTGCAGCAACTTGTTCGTTAGAAATCCTTAAAGTTCCCTCCTTTGTTCTTTCAATATGAGGACACTCGGAAGATTTTACAATTCCCTATAAATAAGTTGCGTAGGAACCATGAATAACATCAGCATTCAACTGGAGGATTATGTTAAAGATTTCTGCTCATTTGTCTGATTTTGGCCGTCCACCAAGTAAACCATCTGAAGCTGTAAAATAGTTTTAATTTCTGAGCCTACCTTACAATTGACATTTTTTGACACACATTTACTGTTGCTTGAACACCATCGACACTTCCAGGGGGTCTTTGTGCAAGAACTACACCTAAAGTATATAACTACTTTTTTATGAAACCTCTAAAAGTGACCCCTAAAAGATCATCTTTCACAGTTTTCTCTTGATGCAGTCAAAACTCTCCACGATGATGAATTAAACAACGATTTTGAACCCCAAATTGTAAGATACTAAAGTGACATCACTTATTAATGAAGAAACTATACCACTTACATAAGAAAAAAAACTATTTAAAAAAAAATAAAGCAGAAATTATTTACGTGAAATATGCGGAACAGTTGTAAACAACCAAACTTCGTTCAGTAACCGGTCGTGAATTTTTGCCATGAAAAATTCTGATTTTTGCTAGCATATGATCACCAGTGAAGTGTTTTTCGTGTTTTGTTGGTGTATCGCAAATAATTCCTTTCCCTGACCATCTCCCTTGAAGTGACTCGGATTCAAAGGCACATATAAATGGCTAAAATTTGAAATCATAAAAACTTCACTAAAAAGCAAGAAGGAAAAAGATACTAAATAAAATTCAAAAATAGCTATAATATCTATGCATTGAACTCTCGGCGTCATACCGTATTGTCAGGTACTGAGTACTGGCCAAGTGGAACGAAAATTTGTGCATCATTAGAAATAGCTGATATATTTGATGGAATTGCTGGTGCATCCACTGGACAGCTGTCAATTAGAAGACCGGAACTACATGTTGAACGAAGTGTGCAACGACCTTCCAAAATACACCAACCACACAGTGGATTAGCTCCGGTAACGCACTGTTTACACGAACTGTGCAATTCACAGTCGTTGATGGAAAGTTTAAATAACTGAAATGGTACTATCCAATCAAAAGTTACTGTTGAATGTTATTTTTTTCTGTCTCCTTCAAAACCAAAAATTGTTCCGTCTTCTTTTTCAACGACCTGTGTCCTTCGGTAACCACAGTAATATTTTGGTTTCTTTTTACTTTATTGAAACACAACTGTGAATCTCCAGTTGCTTTAATGAAGTTATAGCAACCATGTGTCATACGTGATTGTTGCTTTTAAGAATTCCGACATTGACGATTATTTTCAATAAAAAAACAAAAATTTTTTCGAAATTTTTATACCTTCAGTTTCAATAAAGAAAAATGCTTTGATACATTTTTTGAATAAGAAAAACCTTTCAAATTTTAAGTGAACACTTAAATGGCTGACTAATAAGGTTATATTGTTGTTGCCTAAATAAATTTTTGACACTCAAAAATTTAAGTGTATTTATAAAATTTTTTCGTTGCAACAGCATCAATGTGTTGTCGAATAATTCAATTTTAGGATAGAAAAAATAAGCAGTCAAATTTATCTGATCAAAAATTTGTGGCTTAAAAAAACTTTTTTCCAACTATTTTTAGAGGTACGGAAAACAACTGAATTAGTTGTTTACATACGATTAAACTTTACTGATTACATTATAACTGATGATTGGCTTCTATTACAGTCTGAAAATCATTTAAAAAGTTTACATCTGCCGAATGAACCGCTAAAAATAACACAAATTTTGCGGAGGTTAACAGTGGTTGGTATAATTGGGTGTTAGTAAACGCCCATAAATAGTCTCGTCTAAACGTTCTGATGTTAAAAAAAATGAAACAGAAATTAACAGTTTCAAATTTCTTTAAACAAATCATTTGCCCTTTTATCCCTTCCCTTCAGTTAGCTTATAAATAAAACTGGTGAATAATATAGAATGGTCTGTTTACTGCTACTCTTCCCCTCTCCACTCCATCCCCCTCCCCCTCCTCCGGTGAAAAAACTTACTTTTGAACCATTGTATACAAGACAGTGACTGGCATTTGTTGCTACCATCTCGTATCTGTTTGCTTTCTGTTTCTTATATTTGATTTCAACAAACTAAGCTGCACTACAAAATCTCTGAAAGAAAACACTAGAAAATATACTCTCATATATAGGAAATGTACTACGATATAATTAATCGGCTCCAGTTTACATCTCAAACAAAAACTGCAACAGAAAAAAAAACAATTCACTAAATCGCATACAGATGAAAAAACATGGTAGGCAGCAAAACTAACACTATATTTGGAAGACAGATATTTGTTTGAGAAAAACTGAATCAACTACAAAATTAAACCTTTCCAAAATCGTTTGAAAAGGTTTTGTTTTACTACTGTCAACTGTCCGTAGTCTTTTTTTTCTGCCAAATACAAATCTTTTTTTTCGTCTAACAATCTTTTACCCACTATTAAGTGGTGCAATAAATCTTTTTAAAAACCTCATATTTATTCAAAACAGCTTACCGAAATGCCAATTACATTACGATGAATGCCTTTAGCTTATTTGTTTCCCTTAACAAAGTTCAATAACTATATCCCTCCCTGACCCAACCAAAAAAAGAAATCAGTTAGTGTTTGTGTCTTTTCGGATGTCAAACATAGCCGGTTCCTTAAAGTATCCTTTTCTCTTCATCCCAACTATCCCAAGCAACCAAACAGCACCAACTAACTAACAATTAAATGCTTCTAATTGTATTAGAGTGTTATGTCGGCTGTATAAAAAATTCTTTTCAAAAAAAAAAATAAATAAATAAATAAAAAATAAGAAAAAAAAGAGATTGGGGAAATAAATATAAATGTATATGATTTTTGGGCGTCAAATTGAAGGCAATAATTCTGGAGCAATCCTTCTCCATAAAGAAAAAAAATAAAAATAAAAATAAAACAGTTATGACTGCAATTATTTG